ATGCTTATTACTTATTACTATTTTGTGCTTATGCTTATTACTTATTACTATTTGGTTCTTTTGCTTATTACTTATTACTATTTGGTGCTTATTGCTATTACTTATTACTATTTGGTGCTTATGCTTATTACTTATTACGATTTGGTTCTTATGCTTATTACTTATTACGATTTGGTTGTTATGCTTATTACTTATTACTATTTGGTGCTTATCCTTATTACTATGCTTATTACTTTATGTACGTAGTACAGAATTGACGTCAGTGAAAACTAAATCTGAGTTTTTGTCACTTCCTTTTTTTTATTTTTTATCAGACCACAGACATGAAAAATTATTGTTTTGATAAATGAAAATTAGAAAAGCAAATCTTCTACCGTCGGAGAGTTTTTTTGGGATTAAGTGTTTCTTTTCCATTCTTCCTTTTACCCAGAACCTCCAAATCTGAAGCTGTCTGAACTAGGGATGCTTTTTTATTCAGGGATAAACACAAAATAGACTAAATTATAAATAACAAACGGAAATGGGATCAGTGAACAGTAAAAAGTGCAAATAATATTGTAAACTGTATTAATAAGGCAAAACACACAAACAACCTGAATAGAAAATAGCCTAAAACTTAGGCAAACAACCACATACGTTCACATTTGCCTCTCAGGGCAGTTTAGAATAATAAAATGATATAAAATAAAATAATAGATCAGCCTAACATGAATGTTTTTGGACGGTGGGAAGAGTACCTGGAGGGATACACACAAACACAGACCCCCATATCCTTAATTACAGACCATAATTGTGTTTCCTACCTGAGCTAAATGCTACAGATTTTAAGCAGAATTTTTGAAGAAAAAAATCAAGCTGAACCATCGTAAAGGATTTTTTACAAAGAAGCCAAAGAAAAATACCCAATAATATGACTCTTTTTGGACAGTAATGTAAATGGGGCACATGTAGAACCTTTAAAATCTTGTTTCAGAGCTTAGCTGGTTTAGTTTAGGTGTTAGCAGAAGGGACCAGCTTGTTTATCATGAAGAATCAAGCTGCCATATTTATGCTGACATCCAAAATCTGTGTGTCAGAATGATTGTTTTTACAGGAATCTGATTGATCTGTGTTTAACTCATTGACTGGCAGCCATTTTCAGAAATGCCAGTTTTTTGAGCATTTTGACTGATTTTTCTAGAGCCACAGAATAGTTTGTGCTATGACTATGTAAACACCGAACACACCAAAAGAAAGAGTAGACTCTCTTCTTTCATCAGGAAAAAAAATGTGTTTCTACCTTATTCCGTTCTTCCTGGACTTGCGTCTCACCGGCGACATGTTCTCTCATAGAACCGTTCCCTTTTTCTTATTTGCCTACAGTCTATGCTCATCTCCCATCAAAAGTGGCACTGCCCCCTAGAGGCTCAATTTGTTACTACATACTCTGTCTAGAAGCCCATATTTACGGACAAGCTTTAGCAGATCGTCCCCCAGCCACTCTGGTTGAAAAACATTAAAGACGTCTATGGACGTCTTTGGCAGCCAATGAGTTAATCATAAGATCTGCTGTTTTAAAGCATGTTCCTGTAAAGCCCTGATGGATTTCCCTGCTTTTCCAGGTCTTCACCATCTTTGCCTTTGCCACCACGGGGGGTTATTCTGGCTCCACCCACTTCACCGTGGACTGTGTCAAAGAGAAGAAGCCGGTGTCGGCCATCTTCGGATATCCGTTCAGGTACTGAGGAACCCGCCCCCCGTCTCACAATGTCTGGGCTAAAAACACTAATAAACACGTCATAGTGATGACATGACATATTGTCATAGTGATGAGAAATGTAATATTGGGTCTACTCTGTAAGTCGCTTTGGATAAAAGCGTCCGCCAAATGCAGAAACAGAAACATAAACATTTAGCTTAGTACAGGACAGAGGGAAGAAGGAAGGAGTAGCAAGGCCTGTGTTTTTCTGTAAAATGTTAACTTTATATATATTTATATATTTATCAGGCCAAACCACATAGTTTAATACCATATCACTGGTCAGTCTATCCACCAAACTCCTGTATTTTCTTAGGGGTCTTTATTATCACGTTGTATTTATATTCTTATTCTTTGCTTATTTTTGCTTAATGTAGGGGGGGTTATTTTTTTATTCTTAATTTTTTGTATTAGGGGGTTTTATTTTTTACTTTGTATTTTTTTCTATTTGGGGAGGGTATTTTTTACTTTGTATTTTTTGTATTTAGGTTTTTTTTTGTTTTTTACTTTGTATTTTTTGTATTTATTTTATTTTTTATTTTTTACTTTCTATTTTTGGTATTTACTTTTTATTTTTTTACTTTCTATTTTTTGTATTTACTTTTTATTTTTTTACTTTCTATTTTTTGTATTTACCTTTTATTTTTTTACTTTCTATTTTTTGTATTGTGGTGAACCAGCACCCTCTTCTGGTGAGACTGAGTATTACCAGCAAATAGAAATTTAGTCCAAAGTTGATTATGAATCAGTTCCGTTTTTCTATAATTGAGTCAGTTTAAGGTTGTGATTTCTTTTTTAAACAATAAATTCAAATATTTCCAATCTAATTCCTCCTCTCCTGTTGCTTGCCGTGGATATAAAAGGCTTCCAGGTGAGGAGTTGAGCTCTGGGAGGTCAGTTTTTTTAGCTAATAGCCGTCAGAGTTTCCCCTAAATGTTCCTCCTCTGGCTTTTTTCCGCTCAGGTTGTCAGCGAACCCTTTCCAGATCCCGTCCTGTAACGTTTCCACCTCCAACAACACGTACCTGCAGGGCGACTTCTCGTCCTCGGCGGAGTTCTTCGTGTGCGTGGGCGTGTTTGGGTTCCTGTACTGCACGGCCTCTCTGGTGCTGTACCTGGGATACCAGAACCTGTACCGCCAGACCGCCCGCGGCCCCATAGTCGTAAGTCCACCTCCTCACAGGCCCCAGTCAAACTATTCATCACTTTGAAATGCTATTTTCTGCCTCGAATTAAGATTTTTTATGTTTTAGGAATGTTTGTGTCACTGACACCTTAAATAATTCAGAATAACACAGTACTATCTGCAAAGGTAATGTGACATCATCACATTATCTGACAGTATGTGTGTGTATATGTATAAACTAAATTGTTGACATTATCACAACCACTTATTTTAGACATATATATATATATATATAGACATGTATATATGCATATAGACATGTATATATGTATAAGCTGTTGTTTTATTTATGGAGCTAGAGGCAAAAATAATTTCCCTCTGGGATTATTAAAGTATTTCTGATTATATTTGAGTGTGTGTGTGTACATATATATATATATATATATATATATATATAGATAAAGAGAGAGAGAAAGAAAATCAGAGGCCGTCAGCCCGTTGTGCGCTCAGCTCCGTGGGGTAGGAGGGGTTGGTAAATTCAGTTTTTATATCAAATACATGCAAAATAAACAGGGAATCCACAAAAAAAAAACAAGTTTTCATTTGAAATCCATCGTCCTCCATGTTATCCTGCAGTTTATCACTATTTCTATGAAATCGTTGGAGGCTTGACGTGGTCGCGCCGCAAAGCGAGAGGAACTGAAAACGTTTTTAATAATAGTATTATTATATTATTATTATAATATTATATGACAGCACAGTGACCACAGCGTTCCAGGAGATCTGCTGACAGAACATTTTCTGGGTGCTGGTTTCTGAATATGACGAAGAGATATTTAGATTGAGTGTGAAATATTCATGACTGTTCAATAAGTTTGTCGCATCTGATCTGTGTTCAGTGTCACACATCTTGGCCATTCAGTAACATGAGAATAAAAAAATATATAATATATTAATCTTCTCTTTTCCATTAATTATTATATCCACATCTCTCAATGACATCATAACACACGCTGCTCCTAATGAAACAGACTTTTTTTTGGTAATACTTTTTATTTATGGTATTTTTTGTGAAGTTAAGCAAGACAAATACAAATAAGAACAAAAAGAGAAAAGAAAGCTTGAGGTCGTTAATGCACATCACTGCGAATACAACACAATCAATACAGTACAATAGTCTGATTAACCTGTGTTGTTGGTTCTGTCGTTTATGTAAACGGACCATTTTGCCCATTTTCTTTCTCCAATTTCTTTTTGTAACCTTAAGGAATAGGTCTGGGCTAGCTACTTTTGGTCAGGGCTAACTAGCATGTTAGCCCTGCCGGCTAATACCAGATTCCTACCAATTTGGAACCCTGTATCAAATATTTGTGTGTACACCGCGTGTCATTGTTTCTGTTCTTTTCTTGTCTCTTTGCCCTGCAGGACCTGGTGGTGACGGCTGCGTTTGCGTTCCTGTGGTTCGTGTCCTCCTGCGCCTGGGCCAAAGGCCTGACCGACGTCAAGTGGGCCACTAACCCCGAACACCTGGTGACTTTATGCAAAAACTGTGTGCCGGGAGAGTTTCCCTCCATGGGCCGCCTGAACGCCTCAGTGGTGAGAAACTAACCTGCTTACACTGGTTCTGTGACAGACAGTTGGAAACATTAACTGATTGACTGGCAGCCATTTTCAGAACAGAGTCCCATACTGCCAGAGTTTTTTTAGCATTTTGACTGATTTTTCTAGAGCCACAGAATAGTTTGTGCTATGACTATGTAAACACCGAACACACCAAAAGAAAGAGTAGACTCTCTTCTTTCATCAGAAAAAAAAAATGTGTTTCTACCTTATTCCGTTCTTCCTGGACTTGCGTCTCACCGGCGACATGTTCTCTCATAGAACCGTTAGCTTTTTCTTATTTGCCTACAGTCTATGCTCATCTCCCATCAAAAGTGGCACTGCCCCCTAGAGGGTCAATTTGTTACTACATACTCTGTCTAGAAACCCATATTTACGGACAAGCTTTAGCAGATCGTCCCCCAGACACTCTCATTAAAAACATAAAAGACGTCTATAAACGTCTTTGGCAGCCAATGAGTTAACTTGAAGCCTAACCACCCAAAAAAAACAACCAAATCTAGTCAATTTGAAAAGCCTTTGTGGTAAACTGGGATTTGCCATTTTGATCACAGTGTCCACAATCAATGACCCTCTGCACACTTTATCAAAAGACCGAGTCCTATAAAGAACCTATGCTTGTTAGTTTTTATAATTCCCAGCCAAACGGTGCAAATCAGGGATTTACTATAAAGCAGAGCCTCTACATATGGATTTAATTTGTTCCAGGAGCGACTCTTATGTTAAATATTGGTTTGTTGGTTCAAATCTTCCATCAGAATACTCTGTAATTCCTAGAATTGGTTCCAAAAACCTACGATAACTCCTTAATAAATACTGCAGATAACTACACATAGCAAGAAAACAAATGACTTCTAGAAGAGAGATGGAAAAAGAAATAACTGATAAAGAAATAATCAGTAAAAAGGGTTTTTATTGTCCCTTTAGCTCAGAGACTGAAGAACGGAGGTAGAGGTGGAGACTGAGATACAGGACCAGCCCTAACTCACTCTGACTTTACACAGGAACTTTAAACCAACTTACACTAGTTATTTTTATTTAATCTTTATATTCTATATATATTTTTCAATGACTTTGACGGAAATTTACTTTGGGTGTCGAGTTGAGTATTTGATCTGCTGTTAGGCTGAAACAGCCTAAATAATTTCCAAAACATGGCTTCCAGACAGAAAAATGACCAGCTTTCACCTTCCTGACACAATTAACAAGAATCTGTTGTTGTTTTTCCATCAAATGTGTTTTTTTCTTCTTTCTTTTTTCAGATTTTCGGCTTCTTGAACCTGATCCTGTGGGGGGGGAACTGCTGGTTTATTTACAAGGAGACGTCTTTCCACAAAGATCCCAACCCCCCCGCCACCATGGAGGAGGGGGGCCCCCCCATGCCTTAAGGGTCCGTACAGAGAAATGTATTATGTGCCTCAGCGCTGGGGCGGAATAAAAAAAGACCTAAAAAAGTCTGTCCCCTTTTAGCCCCCGGCTCTGTCCGTTTGTTCTTCAGCTTTTGGTGTTTCCTCCTCTCTGAGCAGCCCGCAGTTCTACACTCTCCCCAAAACGTTTATGTTTAAAGCAGGTAAAAAAACCTCCAACACGCTTACAATGTTCCACCAGAAGGTAAAAGGAACGGACATGCGTGGGTCTCTGTCCTCTTTATCTGCTAAAACACTTTTAAGACACTCAAATATTCTGCACTTTTCACATCATGTTCACTGAAGGGTGGAAGAAGGACTGTAGGTTTACTGCCTCACGCCCAGAGCACGCGTGCTAGCCAAAACCGTCTGTTAGCCAAAACCGTCTGTTAGCCAAAACCCTCTGTTAGCCAAAACCGTCTGTTAGCCAAAACCGTCTGTTAGCCTAGCCCAAACCCTTTTCTAGCCAAAACCCTGTGTTAGCCCAAACCGTAATTTAGCCTAAACCGTCTGTTAGCCCAAACCCTGTGTTAGCCCAAACCGTCTGTTAGCCAAAACCCTCTGTTAGCCCAAACCGTGTGTTAGCCCAAACCGTGTGTTAGCCCAAACCGTCTGTTAGCACAAACCGTGCCTTAGCCCAAACCCTGTGTTAGCACAAACCGTCTGTTAGCACAAACCGTCTGTTAGAGCAAACCGTCTGTTAGCACAAACCCTGTGTTAGCCCAAACCCTGTGTTAGCCCTAATTGTGCCTTAGCCCAAACCCTGGGTTAGCTCAAACCATGTGTTAGCCCAAACCGTGCGTTAGCCCAAACCGTCTGTTAGCCCAAACCGTCTGTTAGCACAAACCGTGCGTTAGCACAAACCCTGTGTTAGCCCTAATTGTGCCTTAGCCCAAACCCTGGGTTAGCCCAAACTGTATGTTAGCACAAACCGTCTGTTAGCCAAAACCCTGTGTTAGCCCAAACCGTCTGTTAGCACAAACCGTGTGTTAGCCAAAACCGTCTGTTAGCGCAAACCCTGTGCTAGCCAAAACCGTCTGTTAGCCAAAACCGTCTGTTAGCCCAAACCCTGTGTTAGC